ACTACTATTGAGCAAGGTACCCCCTATACTATACCTGTACATTTGGTTTTTCTTGCCTAAATGTAGAACCTTACTTTTTTCACCATTGAATTTCATTTTGTTAGATAGCGCCCAGTGTTCAAGTCTGTCCAGATCCTCCTGTATCCTAAGCCTGTCTTCTGGAGTGTTGGCTATTCCTGCCAGCTTGGTGTCGTCTGCACATTTGATGAGTTCCCCATCTATCCCCTCGTCCAGATCGTTGATGAAGATGTTGAATAGATAGATAGATAGATAGATAGATAGATAGATAGATAGATAGATAGATAGATAGATAGATGATAGATAGATAGATAGATAGATAGATAGATAGATAGATGATAGATAGATAGATAGATAGATAGATAGATAGATAGATAGATAGATAGATGATAGATAGATAGATAGATAGATAGATAGATGATAGATAGATAGATAGATAGATAGATAGATAGATGATAGATAGATAGATAGATAGATAGAAGATAGATAGATAGATAGATAGATAGATAGATAGATAGATAGATAGATAGATAGATAGATAGATAGATAGATGGATGATATAGACATGATAGGGAGAGAGAGATGATAGGTGATAGATAATAGATAGACAGACAGATATTATAGAAGCTTGAGAGAGAGATTTTGGAAGGGAATGGCAACTGAACTGCAGTGGCTTCTTAATTTACTTTAAACCTGATAATTAGTTGAAATGTGAGGGCATGAAAATTGCATTACAATTCAACAGTTAAAAGATGAGTATCAATAGAATAAATCTGAAAGTAATTCAGTTCTCCTATCTACTTTTTGCAGTGATGTTTATGAATGGTATAAAAAGTTCTGCAGCCTCCAGAATGCAAATCTATCCTAAATTAGAGCCTTTACTTCCTAAGCTTAGCCAATGAGCACCGAACAATTAAGCATGGACAGACACAACAGAACTATAAGTGACCTCAGGCATACATGTAAGGGGAGATTGGTGAACGTAGCCATGCCTGCTCCTGAAAACAAGGCTGAGGATAAATGACTGTGGCTGCTACACAGCTGAATGTCCCTTTTCCTCTTTGTGTCCACAGCAAGAAACAGAGCAGCCCAAGAGGCAGCCCAGTCCCGACGACTGGAACAGCCCCGGCTGGTCAGAACCGGCCCAGACATCCGGCGGTAGGACAGTAAGTTTGCTTCAGGCGGCCTCAGACTCAGCAGATTTGCCCGTTGGCTTCCTCATTCTCCCTGGGTGTAGTTAGAATAACATGCCAGCAGATGGCAGAATGGGACTTGCCTTGCCCAGGTTCAGAAGATTTGGATTGGAATGGGAGACCACGCGGTGAGCCACAGCAGTAGTACAAAAAACAGCCCGTAGGAAAGCCGGATGGTGGGTGTGAAAACTGCCTGGATGGGCCAACATCAATCCCAAAAAACAAGCTTGGCTTGGAGATTGTTTTCATTAAAACGAGGTTGGGGGACACTGGGGGGAATGTTCCAGGGATAACAAGGCATTTGTGGGTCTAGTGTTCCCCTCAAACCTCTGAAAACGATACAGAAAAGCCCCCTTGTTTCTTTGTTCCAGAAGTTTCTGCCCTGAACCTCTTTCATGAGGACTAGAAACTTTCATGAGGACTTAAACATTTCTCTAAATAAACTTCCCAAAACCAGGGGCCTTTCCCCTCCCCTCCAGTTGCAGAAAAGAGACTCATCCAGTTTTTCTAACTCAGTTTGTCTTCCATTTCGTAGATTACCCCCACAGTCTCCGACAGGCAGGACTCCGACTGGAGCAGCTCTGCCTGGGATCTGGAGCCTTCCTGGAGCCCCCCAAAGGGGGGGGATATCCCCACGGAACCGCTCCCCTCCAGCCTCGGCACCAAAGCCGCTGCAGCCCCTCACCAAGACACCAAACTGGCAAGCGAATACAACTGGGGGAGCATCGGCTCTGGGGACAAATCCGATCCGTTTTCCTGTCTGGCTGGGAAGCCACCACCGGAGAGGCAGGTGCGTGGCTATGGGGATGCAGCCTGTCTCGGATGGATTAAACCATGGTTAGGTCAGGGTCGCTAAATGAATTGAGGACTACCTGTACTGCTGAAATTGGCATCAGGGAGGAAAACATAGGCTGGGTATTCATTTTCCTCTGAGCCAGAATGTGGTTGGGATGGTTTATTAGTCTGATTGACTGGTTTCACACAACACATGAAGTTAGTTTGTAGGAAGCCCAGCCTATATTTCAACATGTCACAAACCAGGTCTTCACCTTAAGTCCACCATACGATTCATCAATTTGGACGTCCCTATTCCATCAATATAACACTGGTGTCTTTGTTAATCCTGATTTAGCGTGTAGCTTCACCAGCCTCCTTTGTGAAGTTAGCCATGGTGGTTAATAAACCCTGTTTCATTGCTTAGCATGATGTGTGAATGCAGCCACTTAAGTTTCATTCAGTAAGCCCTTCTTAAACTATTCCATGTGGAAACCTAGCCACTGAATATCTTTCCCTGGATAAAGTAGGGGTTAAAATCAACTTTTTGTGCTGAACCACAGGGACTAGAAACACGAGAATGCAACTTCTTCTGTTCTTAATGATTGAGCAGATCACAACCACACCCTAAACCCTAAATGTAGAGTTGTAGATGGTACAAATGTCAGACCAGCCTTCAAATTCATATATTCGGGGTTTCCTTAGAAAAATGCTGACGCCCTGCGTGAGTGGACCTTCGAGGGAAACTGGGCCACGCTGGACTCGGATCAAGGTATGGTTCCTTCCCATCAGTGCATTTACTCATGGAGTATGGATGTAGTACAGATAATCCTTGACTTATGACCACAAGGGAGCCCAAAGACATTTGTTAAGTGAGTTTTGCCCCATTTTACAGCAATAGCCATGGCCCTTATATACCGCTTCACGGTGCTTTACAGCCCTCGCTAAGTGGTTTACGGGGTCAGCCTCTTGCCCCCAACCATCTGGGTCCTCATTTTACCCACCTTGGAAGGATGGAAGGCGGAGTCAGCCTTGAGCTGGTCAGGATCGAACCACTGGCAGTGAGGAGTGAGTTAGCCTGCAGTGCCGCATTCTAACCACTGCACCACCACGACCTTCCTTGCCACCGTTGTTACGTGAATCACTGCATTCGTTTACCACATGGTTGTTAAGTGAATCTGGCTTCCCCATTGACTTTGCTCGTCAGATGGTCTTAAAAGGGGATCACGTGACCCCAGGACATGGCGACCGTCGTAAATATGAGCCAGTTGCCAAGCGTCTGAATTTTGATCACATGACCCCGGGGAGGCTGCAATGGTCATAAGTGTGAAAAACGGTCATAAGTCGCTTTTTTCAATGCCATTGTAACCTTAATCACTAAATGAACTGTTGTAAGTCAAGGACTACCTGTATTATTGTTATCCTTATTATCTTGTTTACTATTCCTCTTGTTGTTATCATTATTCTGTTGCTTTGAATGTACACTCAAGAGTTTCTTCACCGGACAAAGATTCTTTGTGGGTCTTATCACACTTGGCCAAATAATTCAGTGTAATTTAGTTCAGTTCAATTCAATTCAACTTGGTTATGTTCAATTCAGTTCAATTCCTCTCCGCCTTGGCTACGCTCGGACGGGCTTGGCAGCCCCCCGGCCACTCTCTCTTTCTCCTCTGGATCCACAGGTCCCAGCAAGACAGAGCTGGCCCGGAAGAAGCGGGAAGAGAGGCGCCAGGAAATAGAGGCCCGGCGAGCCGAGAAAAAAGCGGCCAAGGGACCTATGAAGTTGGGGGTCCGGAAATTGGACTGAGACTCGGCCCCACTCGGCCCTTTTCCTCTTTTTCGTTTGGATGGCCTGATGCCTTGAAAGAGGCTGCAAGAAGGAGGCGACTCGTCTGCAACTCTGGTTCCCCAACACAGTTTGGAAAGGGGGCGGGAAATTCGGGGCTCCCCCATCCGGTCTTGCTTGACGTGGGGACGGCCATCCGCACGGCCAGGCCTGGCTGCGCCCGACCTTCGTTTGCCCCCTGCGGGCCAATTTCTCTGGTTTCAAGTAGTGAAAAATAGACTTCCGGAAGGCTTGGGATGAGGGGAAGAGAGTGCTGGATCCATCACAGGGTCTCTTTGCCTCTGTGCGAAGAAAATCAGACTTTTGCACAGAGGCAAAGTACCAGGCGGATGTGTACATACATGAGTGTGTGTGTGAGTGTATGTGTGTGTGCAGGTGATAATCCATGCTTGTTTCATCGGCTGAGACGGAAGCAGAGGAAAAAACTTTGAATGAAAAGCTGCAAGAGGATTCCCACAATCCCTAGCCAATCTCTCTTTCTCTCTCTCTCTTTTTTTCTGTCTTTCTGTCTCTCCTTTCTCTGTCTTTCTCTCTCTTCCTGTCTTTTTTTCTTTCTTTGTCTCTTTCTCTCCTTTCTCTGTCTCTCTGTCTCTGTCTCTTTCTCTTCCCCCCCACCACCTCTGGTTTGCACTTGCAAACCAAATGCCTTTGCTTGGCATGTCAAACTTGGTTAAAGTTGTCTTAATCCTTGGGTGGTTTTGCCTGCAAAGTGCAGCTGCCTCAACGTGGTAGTTTACAAATCTGGAAAATGGGTTAATTCCAAGAGGGAAAAAGTGATGCATTCCCCCCCCCCAGGCATAAATCTTGCAATTTGGCTGGTTTTCAGCAACCAAGGTGGGGGGGGCATATTTTGTTTTTTTCCCCTCAGGGCTATTGAGAATTATGGCTGGAGGGGGGGGGGCAGCAGCGAGAATCTCAATCCCTCTCATGTTTTTTCTTTTAGTAAAATAGCTTGCAAACAACTCTAGGAGATGGTTTGGCACAATTATTTTATTGGTTTTACAACCTGATGAAAATTACACTGGGCTGAAATTTTGGTGAAAACCAGGCTAGGAAAAACATCCTCAGCCTTCTGTTACTCCTCAGATTACTCCAGAATTATTTCAAGAAACAGCCCTTCAGGCAGTTAATGTGATTTTTTTTTAATGTGCATTCACTTCTGTTTAGAAGATGGCTGGAAATAGCTTAGCTTTTTTTTTAAGTAAACATTAAAAAGGTCTGTAAAAGGGTCCTGACCAAAGGTCCTGACTCATGGCTATTTGTGCAACAAGCAGGACAGGGAAGAATTGGTGTGAGCAGTGGGATCCACAAAGCAGCAGTTCCTGTTTCCTCCAAGGTTCAAGGATCTCCTGAGGGGGTAGTGCAGGAAGGACACAGATCCACTGTCCCACCGCAGGATGAAGTGCAGCACAGATGTGGCTTTCCTGCAGCAGACCCAGAGTCCCGCTGCTGCCCGTCCTTCCTCTTTCTCGCCTCCCTAGATAGCAACAAGCAGGTGCATCAAATGAACTGGATGTTCTATTGTAAACTGGCACCAGCGTACGTGTTTCACATGCGGTGCGACTGGGGACCGGCAGATCTGGACCTCTCCTGTCATGTGGTGCTGGTGCTCCTTGGGCTGGACGGAAGACTGGAATCCGAGACCTGTTGTGGGAAAAAGCAAGATCTTAAGAGGGAACTGACCTGGCTTGTACTATTTTAGAGAAGAAACTCCAACTGAAAACAGAAACAGAATAACAGAGTTGGAAGGGGCCTAGGAGGTCTTCTAGTCTAACCCCCTGCACAAGCAGGAGATCTAGACCAAGACCATTCCAGACAAATGGCTGTCCAATCTTTTAAGAAGCCTCCAGTGATGAATCCACAATTCTGGTAGCAAGCCATTCCACTGGTTAATTGTTCTCACTGTTAGGAAGTTTCTCCTTAGTTCCAGGTTGCTTCTCTCCTTGATTAGCTTCCACCCGTTGCTTTCTTGTTCTGCCTTCAGGGGCTTTGGAGAATTGGTGGATCCCTCATCTTTGTGGCAGCCCCTCAAATACTGGATTACTGGTATCATGTCACTCCTGGTCTTTCTTTTCATTAAACTAGACATACCCACTTCCTGCAACCGTTCTTCGTATGTTTTAGCCTCCAGCCCCCTAATCATCTTCGTTGCTCTTCTCTGCACCCTTTCCAGAGTCTCTACATCTTTTTTATAATATGGTGACCAGAACTGGATGCAGCATTCCAAGCGTGGCCTTACCAAGGCATTATAAATCAGAATTAGAATCAGAATAACAGGTGGAAGGGACCTTGTAGGTCATCTAGTGCAATCCCCCACCCAAGCAGGAGACCAGTTTTGTGATGACCAGAACTGGATGCAGAATTCCAAGCGTGGCCTTACCAAGGCTTTGTAAAGGGGCACTAGTACTTCATGTGGACTCGATTCTGTCACTCGGTCAATGCAGCCTAGGATTGTGTTGGCTTTTTGTGGCAGCTCCACTCAACCTCCGCAAGCACCACTTGTGACAGGTCGGGAAACACCCCCCCCCCCCAGTTTTGCACTCAGTTTCCATTTCTGCGTCCCTTACCTCTCCCAGTGACGAAACGTCGGAGAAGAGGGACTGCGGAGACAGAGAGGAGTTGTCGGAGACCGAACTGCCTGTCTTTAGTCTTTCTGTGTGGCAAGAAAACAGAGACGGCAATTAGCAGGAGACTAAAACTGCAGGAGAGTCTTTCTTCCAAGAGAGGCCCTGGATGAGTGGACTTCAGTTCCCAGAGTTCCCCAGAGACCATGGCTACTCCTGAGAATTCTGGGATTTAAAGTCCATGTAGCTGGAAGGCCTGCTGAAAGACCACAACTGCAGTTGCAGGCAGTTGTAACTTGACTTAACAACAGTTTGTTTACTGACCTTTAGAAGGTACAAGGGCACTGAAAAAAAATGTCTCATGACTGTTTTTCACGCTTATGACTGCTTCAGCATCCCGATGGACACGTGATCCAAATTCAGATGCTTAGCAACTAACTCATATTTATGACAGTTGCAGAGTCCTGGGTTCATGTGATCCCCTTTTGCGACCTGACAAGCAAAGTCAATGGGGAGGCCAGATTCGCTTAACAACTGGGTTATTAACCTAACAAACTGAAATGATTCACTTAACAACTGTGGCAAGAAAGGTCGCAAAATGGGGCAAAACTCAGTAACAGAACGCTTGGGCTCAATTGTCATAAGTTGAGGACTACCCGTATTCCCCACCCCACTGCTCTAGGACCCCTTAAAATCCCCCTGCCCAAATCCCACGTGGCCCTTATTTCCCAGCGTGCTTCTTACGGAAGGAAGCAGGGCCCAGAGGGGTCCCGTTGTGGCCCTCAAGCAACGGCCGCCGCATCTCGGAGAGGCTGCTGCAGCGCATTCGAACATCGGCCTCCCGCCTCTTCTCTTCCTGCGCCTGGGTGTGGGTCAAGGTTGCAGGGTGGAGAATAAACAGTGTTGAGTTGGAAGGACTGCAAGGCGAATTGTCTACAACAGTAGTTTTAAGAAATGCCCAATTCTTGCGTGCAGTAATTTTAAAATCAATTTGAATAGAGCTGGAAGGGACCTTGGAGGTCTTCTAGTCCAGCCCCCTCTGCAATGAGAAGACCCTATACCAGGGGTAGGCAACCTTGGCTCTTTTATGACTCATGGACTTCAAGTCCCAGCTGGCTCAGGAATTCTGGGAGTTGAAGTCCATGAGTCATAAAAGAGCCAAGGTTGCCTACCCCTGCCTTATACTATTCCAGACAGGTGGCTGTCCAGCCTCTTCTTAAAAACCTCCAGTGATGGGAGCATCCACAGCTTCTGGTGGCAAGCCGTTCCACTGGTTAATTGTCCTCACTGTTAGGAAGTTTCTTCTTAATTCCAGGTCGCTTCTCTCCTTAATTAGTTTCCATCAATTGTTTCTTGTCCTGCCTTTTGGTGCTTTGGAAGTAAGTTCACCCCCCCCACACACACACATACCTTTGTGGCAGCCCCTCAAGTACTGGAATACTGCTATCATGACACTCCTAGTCCTTCTTTTTGCTAGACTGGCCATTCCCAAATCCTGCAGCCGATCTTCGTATGTTTTAGTCTTCTTTGCACTTTTACCAAAGTCTCAACATCTTTTTTGTAATGTGACCAAAACAGGTATAAAGGGGTGCTAATATTTCACCTGATTTGGATTCTATGCCTAATGGATCATAGATCACAACAGGGCAGTTCATTTCTTGTGCTGGGGCTGCAAAACTGAAGATTTGCAGGCTGGGCTTGCCTCTTTACAACCAAACCATCATTTGGTCAACCGTGGGTTTTGCTATCAATCATGGTCTAGACCAGCTGCTCCCGAACATTTTGGACTTGGGGCCCCTTTGTATTCTTAAAAATGATGGGAGGACCGCAAAGAGCATTGGTTCATGTGGGTTATGTCTATTGATATTTATTGTGTTAGAAATAGAAGTTTTAATATGTTTACTTCACTTTGGGGACACCCATGAGCCCCCAAACCCCAGTTTGAGGGGCACAGGTTTAGGTGATACAAGACATTTATAATAAACTGTGGCTTGTGGATTACAGCTATTGGTTTCACTCTGGCATTAAGTCAGAAGGGGACAAAATATGATTGTCTTTTGTGGCACCCCCTGATTCCCCAGAACGAGGTGCCAAGCCTTTGCAAATTGGGCGGGGGGGGGGGACTGTTTTAAGAGGCAAATAGCACCTGCAGTTGTAGATTCACATCCACCTTATTCTATTGCCCTCACACAACCCTGTCAGTCAAACGTGAGCTGACTCATGTTGTGGGCTTGGCGCAACACACTCTGATTGAGCCACTGGATCACCTGCCTGATCCAACGGGAGGGAAGCTGGTGAGAGATTGGGAGAAATCAGCTGTGTAAAGCAATGGTCCCCAATATTTCTGGCTTTGCAGACCAGCCGTGGGTGGGGAGGAAACGGTTCCGTGCGAGCAGCAGGTGAGCA